TATATATATATATATATTATATATATATATATATATATATACATATATATATATATATATATATATATATATATATATATATATATATATATATTAAATAGTATGGGAGATAAACAACAACCTTGCTTCAGTCCTTTTGTTACCTGAAAACCATTAGTAACCTTATTTCCTATTTTAACTTTTGATATTGTGTTGTTATATAGATCTTTAATAACGTCGATTAGTGAAACGCTGATACTGGTTTTCTCCAATACTTCCCACAATTTCGCAACAGGCACGGTGTCATATGCTTTTGTTAAATCGACTAAAAGTAAATGCACTTCTCGAGATCTCAGTGTTCTTTTCTCGAGTATTTGGGATAAGCAAAAAATACTATCTATTGTGGATCGTCCCGCTCTGAATCCGTTTTGTTCTTCTGATTCAAAAGGACGGTATTCTTCGCATATGCGTTCTTTTATAATTCTCCCATATAATCTGCTAAGCGTACTCGTAACAGTTATACCCCGATAGTTATTGCAATCTTCCTTATTTCCTTTTTTATGGATAGATGTAATCCATCCTTCTTTCCAACTTTGTGGCACTGGTTCTCCGTGCAAGTGCCTATTGAAAACTTCTGTTAGTATCTCGAATAGTTTGTTAGTTCCATTTTTTATTAACTCTGCATATATCCCCTCTGGGCCCGGAGCACGTCCATTTTTCAACAATGATATAGCTTTTTTAGTTTCTTCGATGTTAATTGTTGGAGGCTCTCCTTGAATCAGGATTTCATGTTGTTCTATGTTTTTGAATTCCGGTCTTTCTTCTACTAACAGTGTTTTATAGTGATAATGAAGATTCCAACGAAAAATAGGAAAAATTTAAGAACACATTAATGATGCCAATTAAAGATACGATGAGTAGTCACAAAATCGATGAAGCTAAGACTCCATGGGTGACAGATGAGATCCGGCAACTAATGGACAAAAGAAGATCATACAAAAACAAAAATGTAAACGAATACAAAGCCACACATAAGGAGCTCAGGATAAAAATACAGGCAACTAAACAAAAGTGGTACAACAGCAAATGTTTAGAGATAGAAGAACTCTAAAGAAACCATGATGGTTTTAAAGTGCACAAAAAAAATTAAAGAATTAGCAGGTATAAGACGGTCCAACAATATCTAGTAACACCCTGGTTGATACGAATGGTATGATGATAAAATATTAACTGATGCCAAAGGCAAACTAAACAGATGAAGAGAATACGTCCAAGAATTGTTTGAGGATGACAGGACACAACAAGAAGTATGACCGATTGCGAGGAACATAATATAGGTCCAAATATAACTAAGGATCAAATAATACATGCAATAAATCTGGCAAAATCTAATAAAGCTGCCGGACCTGACACAATTCCAACTGAAATAATCAAATTAATATCAGAAGATCAGATCAATGTATTAGTAGACTTATATAATACTATATATAATACGGGTATTATTCCGAGGGATTCGCTCAAATCGTATATAACGTTTAAATAACGTTTATATTACATTACCAAAAAAACCTAATGCAAGGGAATGTAATGACCACCGTATAATTAGTCTAATGAGTCACACACTAAAAATATTCTTAAAAATTATCCATTTAAGAATTTTCAGAAAAGTGGAACAAGACATTACTGAAACCCAATTTGGATTTAGGAATGCCATGGGTACAAGAGAGGCATTATTTGGATTTAACGTCCTCATGCAAAGATGTATGGATGTAAACCAACCACTCTATGTTTGTTTTATTGATTATAATAAGGCGTTCGATAAGGTCCGACACAACCGTCTTATACAGTTACTTAAAGAGAAACACATTGACAAAAAAGACTTAAGAATAATAACTCATCTCTACTTTAACCAAACAGCAAAAGTCAGAGTCGACAGAGAACTTTCGGAGGAAGTAGAGATGAAAAGAGGCGTAAGGCAAGGTTGCATACTCTCCCCTTATTGTTCAATCTATATTCGGAAGAAATAATTAAAAAATCACTCGAAAATGTAACAATTGGAATAAAAGTCAACGGCAGACCCATCAACAATATCAGATATGCCGATGATACCATACTAATTGCAGAGAATATACAAGATCTACAGACACTTTTAGATAATGTAGTAAATGCTAGTGAGGAAAGCGGACTAACGCTTAATGCTAATAAAACAAAATTTATGACAATTTCCAAACACAACAACAAGACATTTTAAACATAAGAGGAGTTCCAATAGAAAAAGTAAAAAAATACAGATATCTTGGTACAATTATTAATGAAAATAACGAGTATACAGAAGAAATAAAAATGAGAATTGGACCAGCTAGAGCAACATTTAATAAGATGAGAAAAGTATTATGCAGTAGAGACCTTAGTTTACAACTCAAAATAAGAATATTACGTTCTTATGTGTTTTCGGTGCTGCTGTATGGGATAGAGGCCTTGACGTTAAAGAAAGAGGTGAGCGATCGACTTGAAGCATTCGAGATGTGGACCTACCGAAGAATATTAAAAATAAGTTGGGTAGACCGAATAACAAATGTTGAGGTCCTCAGAAAGGTAACAAAGGAAATGAAAATCATGAATACGATTAAGATATGAAACTTGCTCGACTTGTTCAGAGCTGCAATCTCAAAAGTGAAAATAGTTGTGATGATTACCAATCTCCTTAGAGGAGATGGTACCTAAAGAAGAAGAAGAAAGAGTATTTGTGATTAAAAAAAGAGGTTAAATCTTTGTAAGTGGGTATATTTTTACATATTCTCATTTTGTGATACGTGGTATACAGCCAGCTGCAGGAATTAATTTTCCTTGTGGATTTTATTTTATTTGTGATTTATCTAATCTAACATTTCCCAAAGTTTTTTGGTGGAGTACTTCTATTCAGAACAGAAATTATTGTGGGAAATATTTACCATCTTCTTCTTCTTTTTGTGCCACTCCTATCGGAGATTGGAAATCATCAAGGCTATTCTGACCTTGTTTACGGCTGACCTAAAGAGTTCATTAGTGGTGCAGCCAAACCACTCTCTCAAATTCCGCAACCATGACATTCTTCTACGGCCTGGATTCCGTTTTCCTTCTATTTTTCCCTGCATTATATTTTGAAGTAATGCGTATTTATGTCCTCTCATCAGGTGACCAAAATATTCGAGTTTTCTTCGCTTTAGCGTTAACAAAATCTCTGGGTCTTTTCATATTCTTCGTATTACTTCACAGTTTGTTATTCTTTCAACCCAACTAATCTTCAGCATTCGACGGTAGCACCACATCTCGAAACTTTCAATATTTTTCATGTTGTTCTGTTTGAGAGTCCAGGCCTCTACACCGTATAATAGCGTGTTAAATACATAGCCTCTCAGCATTCTTAATCGTAGAGGGATGCTTATATTTCTGTTGCAGAAGAATTTTCTCATCTTTATGAAGGTGGCCCTGGCAATTTCGATACGTCTTTTTATTTCACTGTTTTGGTCTCCAGTTTCGTTTATTAAAGTTCCCAAGTATTTGTAGTTTGATACTTTTTCAACTTGAGTGCCGTTTATACTAATATACGCTGGTTGTGTCATGTTTTTACTGAAGACCATATACTTGGTTTTTTTAATATTGATATTTATACCATAATTGTTGCAAGCAATATTTATGTCTGTAAGTAATCTTTGTAATTCTTCTACTGTTCTTGCAACTAGTACAGTGTCGTCCGCGTATCGAATATTATTTACAATCTCTCCATTAATTACGATTCCTCCGTTTGCTTGTAAAAGGGCTTCCTGACAGATGCTTTCACTATATACATTAAATAACAGAGGTGACAAAATGCAACCCTGTCGTACTCCTCTACGTATTTCTATTGCTTGTGATGTTTCAGTTTCTATTTTGATGTTAGCTTTCTGATTCCAATATAGATTGAGAATTATTCGCAGATCTTTATTATCTATGTCCTTCCTTTCAAGAATCTCTCTAAGCTTATCATGGCGTACTCTGTCAAACGCTTTTTCAAAATCGATAAAACACGTATGTACCTCCTGATTAACGTCTAGGCATCTTTGTGTGAGAACATTCAAACCGAAGAGAGCTTCTCGAGCACCAAGCCCTTTTCTGAACCCCATCTGTGTATTACTAATATCTGACTCCAACTTTTGATAAACTCGGTTGTGGATGATTTTTAGAAATATCTTTAGTAGGTGGCTCATTAAAGATATTGTTCGATGTTCTGAACATTATTTAGCATTAGATTTCTTTGGCAGTGTAACGAATGTAGACAACAGCCACTCTTGAGGTATAATGCCAGTATTGTAAATTGTATTAAATAAGTGCAATATTATACCTATATTTACCATATTGCACTTGAAACCTATATGGGTGCCACAGAGAACGACAGATATTATTTGTAAAGGGGGTATATTAACCATTACATTTTATATGTACTTTATTCAATCGAAAACATAAGAAAACTTATCACATCTAACGAAAAACAAAAATAAAATTAACACATAGATCCTATTTCTCAAATCTTAAAAAACTTCTTCATTTTAATGTGAAGAATGATACTGCCTTGATTTGCATAATTTGCAAGTTTAGTAATATCCTGTTGAATTTGGGATAAGTTCAATCGAATGTACTGTGTACATGTTGTTTTAGTGGCCACATAGACAGAGATTGCTGCTTCACATAAGTATGTTATCCTCTTTGAAATATTATTGGGAAATTTTAAAACGAAGACAGAAATGATAAAGGCAAACAGCTGGTAACTTTTCTTCTAGAAAACACTTTCTATGAATTGAATAGCTTATTTAAAAAGAAATGCACAGAATTTGGACATGGAAAAGTTCTGATGGAAACACAAGGAACTTGGGAACTCTTTCTCTTTTTGGTTTCTATGTGACAATGTCTACGTCGCTAGACTATACAGCTATTAGTTTAAATAATAAAAATCATTTGAAGATTTACAAGATTTGGATACAAAAACATTAAGATTAATAACTTACCTGACTTTTCATGGGATCAGTATTGATCTGACACATATACTGCCCACCGTCTTCTTCTTGAACGTTTTTGATGTGAAGATTCCACGTCGTATGGTCATTGTGGGAAACGCTAACTCTAGGGTTGTGCGTAATCACGTGATCGTGGATTGCTTGAATGGCTTTTGTATCGGCTTTTACCCAGCCTACCTATAAAAGAAAGAAAAGCATTAGTATTAATAAACAATATTAAATATTGTTAAAAGTGATTATTAAAATATTGAGACACTGGTCTTGTCCACGCTCAGTTGTCTTCACGTAAAGATCTTAAGATCAGATTTAAAAAACTCCTTAAAATTTTTGTGGAACTATAGGTAAAATAATATATAAATTTTGGGTGTAATGGGCACTTCAACTTAGCTAATATCGAAATTAAAAAGTCGTTCTGAAAGTTCACCAGGTCCCCAGATCGCACTGATACAGTCGTAACTAGAACTCTCTCTTAATACGATATTGTATTGATAATTGTTCAGTCCGATAAACAAGAGTTTTCGATAGGTTTTAATCAAAAAGCTCTGGTAAAATATGTATTGTACGTATGAGCATTTCCCTCACGCTTCCGTTATAAATGCACATTCTCCAAACGGTAAATAATTTGCACTGTTGCTCCCACTTCTAGCTCACTTTTTGACTGTCTTCATCGATATGCTTTAGCATGTGCAACGTTTAGTGTGGACTGGTACTAGATAGGGGAGACTGCTGTTCATACCTCATTACATCTTAACGAACTTTGGTTAGTGTGGTTTAAGGGTCTGACGTAGACCTACCATTTTTGTATGTTAATAGTTAAATTTTAGCTGATTCTATTTTTACAAGGTAAGGTTATTGTTTACACAGCATGTTTTATTAAATGTTAGCTTTATTATTGTCTATAGGTACAAAATTAAATAGTTGGGATTGATGAGTAATTGCAATTTATTTTTAATATGGCGTCCTGGGGTAGGTTGTTACTATTTCCAAGGAACAAGTTGTAACTGCAATAACCAATCCCATGTTAAGAAATATTGTGTAGGTTTATTAGTAACCTAGATTTTGTTGTAAATAAAATTGTAAATTTTTAATATATCAAAATGGGAACCAACAAAAATAAAAATTAAACGCCACAGTAAATCATTATTGCTGCAGCAAAGAAGATGGTAGAAAGTGAAAGACCTCTTGGACCAGTAGCGAATCAATGAGGGATTAATTTAATGACTCTTCAGAGATACGTCAAAAAGATCTAGAAAATTGAGCTTAATAGTAAGTGTAGTAAAATTGTAATTTTTTTCTATGAACACATGCATAGCACATGCCTCGTTAAAATTTGATTTGTTTTCCGATGCTAATACCATACCCACAGGATATTTAAAAAATCGTAAGATCTTCTCTGATCGACATGAAAATGAATTAGCTGATGGTACTGAATGTTCAAATATATATCACGGTCTTTCCCCAAAAGATCTTAAATAGCTTGCTTTTCAGTTTGCTTTAAAAAAAACGTAACTCTTTATGATAACTGTATAAAATTTAAGACTGCATCTGGTTGACTGTCTAATAAATTTTTTTAAATGCCACAATGAGTTATCCATCCGTACCTCTTAGTCTACGAGCTTAGTGCAAGCCACAAGCTTAAATAGACACAATGTAAATTCATTCTTTGACAAACTCTAAAATGTAATAAATAGGCACAATCTTTAAGGTAACGATATTTACAACTTAGATGAAACCGTGGTAACAACAGTTTAAAAACGTGCAAAAATAATAGCATCAAAGGTGTCACTTCGGGGGAACGAGAAACATTGGTGACAGTGTGTCTGACAGTGAATGCCATTGGAAACTCAGTGCCGCCAATGTTTATTTTTCCGTCGAAAAATTATTGAGAACATTTTGTTTTCAGTAGAACACCAGGATGTACATGAACCAGCAATCCTTCTGGATGGATCACGAAAGTGGAATTCTTAGTTTATGTGAAATATTGTCATAAGAATATTAAATGTTCTAAGGTAAGTTAATTTACAATTACAATTAAAATCAATACCTAAATTTTTATAAAAGAAGCAATTTTAATTTAGAATTTCTGGTTGGTCTGCCAGTCCTTGCAGGTTATTACAACTGGTCAACGTAGGCTGAGCCATCTCAGAGCCCCATCCACTACCTGGACACAGCGGATTAGGGAACTCCCTTCCCAGAAATCATCCAATAGGGTTAATAAGGACAATTACAATGTTGTCAAAATTAATAATAATTTAAATTTCATTTTTATAATAAATATATAAATATCCTTGGATACTTCAGCTAAGTCGTCAGCCTAAGTGGGTTACGTCACACTTCTGAATCCTTTTAATTGCCTTAACTTTTATATTTCATATTTACCTTGAATTTTTTTATTTATTAATATTATTAATATTTATAACATTTATAAATATATATCCGATATAAACGATATAGACGATATTAAGATAAAAAGAGGTGTACGACAGGGATGTATATTGTTCCCATTATTGTTCAATACATATTCAGAGCACATTATGAACCTAGCGCTAACGGACATAGACGAGGAAATACTTATAAACGGAGAATGATTGAACAGCATAAGATACGCTGATGATACTGTCATTTTTGCAGACAGTCTTGAAGGTCTGCAGTCAATATTCAACATTTGGTCTTTTTTTTAATATGTAACAACGCCAACAATGCTCACCAAGGAAGAAATCCTTGGTGAGTACAAAGCGGTTTTAGGCCAGGTAGGTCAACAATTGACCAGATTTTTGTGCTACATCAAATCTTAGAAAAAACCAATGAATTTAATATTGACACGTTCCATCTCTTTGTGGACTTTAAGTCAGCGTATGATAGCGTCCTTAGAGGTAAATTATACGAAGCCATGAATAAACTTAACATTCCCCATAAATTAATAAGGCTCGTAAAAACAACTATGAGTAAAGTGATCTGCAGAGTGCAAATTCTTCTTCTTCTTCAGATGCAAATCCACTAATGGATGTTAGCGATCACATTTTCCATTAACTCTCTATTTCTTGCAATATGTATCAGAGATTGTATGTCGTTAATCCCTGTCCATTGCCTTATGTTTCGGAGCCAGGACATTTTCTTGCGTCCCATTCCTCTCTTGCCTTCAATTTTACCCTCGATTATAAGTTGGAGGAACTGGTATTTTTCATTTCGCATGATGTGACCTAGATACGCCGTTTTCCTTTTCTTGATGGTTTCGAAAAGTTGGCGTTCTTGGTTTATTCTTTTAAGGACATCTATATTTGTGATTTTCGCTGTCCATGGTATTTTTAGGATACGGCGATAAAGCCACATTTCGAAAGCTTCCAATCTGTTTATATCCCTCGTTTTGAGTGTCCAGCCCTCTACGCCATATAGCAGCACTGACCATACGTAGCACTTAGTAAACCTTAGTCTCAGTTGAAGATCGAACTCAGAACAAGTCAGTACCTTCTTGAATTTTACGAAAGCTTGTCGAGCTTGCTCAATGCGACATTTTACTTCCCTGTCCGATGCCCAGTCTTCAAAAAGCCACGATCCCAGGTATTTAAATTTACTCACTCTTTCTATGGATTTACTATTCAGTGTTATGGTGGAGTTTTCAAATGCATCCAAGTTTCTGGAGATGATCATGAATTTGGTCTTTTTGGTATTAATCTCTAGTCCCATTCGCTCACTGTATTCTCCGATTATAGTGACAAGTTGTTGAAGATCGACTATGTTGTCACAAATTAAGACACCATCATCAGCATATCTTATGTTGTTGATCAATACTCCATTCACCTTGATTCCCATCTATGCATCCTCCAAAGACTCTTGAAATATGGCTTCTGAATAAATGTTAAATAAAAGAGGGGAAAGCACACATCCCTGTCGAACGCCTCTTCTTATATGTATGGGCTTAGATATATAATTGTCTATTTTTAGCTGTGCCGTTTGATGCCAGTACAAGTTTTCAATGCATCTTATGTCTTTTTGGTCTATATCAACTTTCTTGAGAATCTGCATTAACTTGTGGTGTTGGACACGATCCGTGCCAACGGATCGTGTCCAACGCCACAACGCCAGAGTGCAAATACAAGGCGATATGTCACAAGCGTTTAAAACATATGCAGGGTTATGGCAGGGAGACGCGCTGGCGTGCCTTCTCTTTAATATAGCGTTAGAAAAGACTATAAGAGATGCCGAGTTACACAATAGGGGAACAATCTTTAATAAATCAACGAAGATTATGGCTTACGCTGACGATCTGGATTTGATCGCACGTACTACACGAGGACTTAAAGAGATGACTTCCACCTTTTTGACAGCCGCACAAAATATGGGCCTTAAAATAAACGAGGAAAAAACCAAAATGTTAGCATCTATTCCAAATAACAGAGATAGAGCTAGAAACGCCGAACAAAACTTCAGTATAGACCAATATAATTTTGAGGTAGTAAATAAGTTTACATATTTGGGTTCTCTCATAACAAACGATAATGACACATCTGAAGAAGTTAAACGGAGGGTACTGCTAGCAAACAAATGTTATTTTGGACTAAGCAAGCAGCTAAAAAACAGAAACTTAAGCCAGAAAACCAAACTAATAATATATCGAACACTCATCCTACCAGTGCTGACATATGGGTCAGAAACATGGACCATCTCCAAAACAGACGCAAATCTGCTGCTCGTCTTCGAAAGGAAGATACTAAGAAGAATAATGGGCGCATTCTGTGAGAATGGTATTTGGAGAAGGCGATATAATTTCGAATTGTACGAGAAGTATAAAAAAATAGTAAATGGTAGAGATGTAATATCCTTCATAAAAATAGGTAGGCTTAGATGGGCTGGACATGTGTCAAGAGCAAATGAAAATTACCCACCCAGACGAACTCTATTATCGGTCCCAGTGGGAAATAGGAGTAGAGGCAGACCACGACTGAGATGGAGGGACGGTGTGGACGAGGACGCAAGGAAAATCGGCGCGGCAAATTGGCAACGGTTGGCGATGAACAGAAACGACTGGCGAAATAGACTGGGGAAGGTCAAGGCTCAACTAGAGCTGTAGCACCACTGATGATGATGATAACAATGCCAATATACCCCATTAATGAATTTTTAAAAAAATATTTTTTATCTTGTCCTTGATCTCCTTGTCTTTTGTAAGTATGCTATCCTAAAGGTTTTTTTTGCTCCTTTTTTTTATATACATCTACAGCTACTTAGTGTTTTTATATAGTCATATCCTCCATGTTTCTTTAAGTTATTGCGTCAGTTAAGCACAAAGAAAAACTAGATGTATGCTTAAATCTGAATGCCGTTGAACAGATAATTTTAACATTTTTCAATAAACATCTCTCTAAATTGTGTACTTCTCTCGATCGACACGTTTCAAAATAAATTGATAATGCAATTTTTCTATAGTTATCTTTTGAACCAAAGCATAATCAGGGGTGAATAACTCTCGCAAAGTTTGTATCTCGATTATTCGCCCCATAGAAATTCGCTTCCTACGAGTAACAGCCTTCCTAATTATCGTTCACTCGGCTTCCGTATTCTCCAATATCCACTTAACACATTGCCGTTTGCCTAATTGCAAGCACTACCTGCAAATAAACCAAACACACAGCTTATAATAAGCAGTATTAGAAACTGCAGGAAACGAAAACTAGATGCAAGTATACACCAGCAATCGATCCACGGTCTCCCGTGCAAATGAGATTAAGGCAATCGAAAGGAGATAGAATTCAAAGAGAATTTGAGAAGTTGTACGTAGCGTCGTACAGTTGCAACAAAT